AACAAGCTCTCGAGTGCAGCTGTCCAGGGATCAAGCAATCTTCCTTGAGCCCTTCATATTCCTCTTTCTTGCTCAGTAACATGCAGCAGTTGCTTCAAACATATTGAATTACTTCTCCCAACCCTGCTAGTTAGTCCATTAAAATATCTTACTTCTGCCTGCAAGCCTCCTTTGGCAATGACACTCTCTGGTGGCTTGCGTGGCTGTATGAAATCCAAGGGACACAGTCACGATCCCCCTGCTGTGTGCTATTCTGATGACGCGTGTGCTGCTAGATGACTGGGAGCTTGAAAATGCTTGAAAATGCTGTCCTTTGGAGATGTGCTCAACTACTCCCCTGGTTTACATAACCTCAAAGTAATTTACTTTCATGGCAGAACATAGTTATTCATTCTCTTTTAACTGTGTATTGAGTTATAAATAATGTCTCCTTGCAGACAAGAATCTATAGAATGTTTTATTTATTTATTTATATTTGTGCTTTCGGAACATTCTTCCCCAGACTTTCCCAGCCTTAGCACTGAAGTTGCCAGACTGACTTTCTCCTGCCAGGCAGCCATGAGCAGTGTCAATCTCAGGTCAGCTGCTATGTCCCTGTGGCCACCTTCTCGTTGGTCCTGCCTGGGCAGTGACAAAGATGAAATGAGAACTCAGGGATGTACAGCTGAGATCACTGAAGTGCCAGGAAAACTGATTAAACCAATGATTTCCTCTTCCTCTGATGAGCTGCACAATAATTTGTCCTCCAAACCACCTTCCCCGCGGTATGGTGACTTCAAAGAGCAATAGCCTGGGCTGTTGTCCAGCCAAATATTCTGCTGCTTGGCATCTCTTTTTTTCTGCTGCTCATTTTAGTGTTGTCCTGCTTGCCCAGTGCAATGGAGCCATGACCTGACATCCTCGTCATCTAGAAACTGCCCAGAGCTGGAGCACAGCACGAACTGACGAGGCAAAAAGTGAAGGTTATGTCCTGAGAGCTGGGGCTGCCGAGACCCATGTCTGGCCCAGGTTGTAGCACAGCACTGAAGTGGCCCCTATTTTGACAGCTGATTTTCTGTGGTGCAGATAACTTTGCTGCAGGTTTGAATGCTGATTTTCTTCTGGGGAAGTGTTGTAATAATGGAGTCCTGGGCTGTTGCAGAAGTAGAGTCTTCGAAATCATAGAGAGCTAATAATATTCTCAAATTTGAATGGGTAAGTGTGGTAGTTTGTTTGTTTCTTTGGTTTTTTTTTAAATAACAATTACAATTTACTCTTTTTTGTTGTGTGTGCTACTGGTTTCCCCATAAAAACATGCTGGGAGCTCTTTGTACCACTTACCTGTGGCCATTTAGCAAAGGTGGTAGGAAAACTCTGAGGCTGCTCTCCTGGGTCATGGAGAAGTGTTATGTTCCTTCATTAACAAAAGCTATCCTTAGGAAAGAGCATTATGTGAGTACTGTATACATAAAATAATTTAGGTTGGAAGAGCTCCCTAGAGGTCTCCAGCTCAAAGCAAGGCCAAAGTCAGCTCAGGATATTCAAGGGCTTCCTTGCTCAGGTGAGTTTTCAATACCTCTGAGGAAAGACGTGCATGGGCTCCCTGGTTCCTGTGCCACTGTTTGATCACCCCAAAGGTGAAGAATAATTTCCAAAATTTGGCCTGGATTTAATCCTTTTGCTGTGCAGCTCTTAGGAGACTCTGGCTCTGTCTTGTCTACCTGCAGACAGCTCCTGTAGCCATCTCTTTGCCAGGCTGAAGAAGCCCAGCTCCTTCAGTTCACCCTGAGTGCCCTGATCAGCCTGGTGGCCTCTGCTGGATGCATTCCCATGTGTCAACATTTGCAAAGGGGCCAGGTACATTAAATTCATTGCATAAGTTAGGTGAAACCATGCTAGCCTTCACCTGCAGGGTACAAAGTTTGCAAATGGTCTTATTAGTTCAGGAAAACATTTGCTGGCATTACCTAAATCAACCTCTATTTAATAAGTTCGTGAACACATGGATATGTTTTCATATCTATATGTTTTAATCATATCAATGACTTTATTGCTTAGTTCAAATGGTGCCTTCAGGTACTAGGTGAGAGGCAGATCTTCCGTTTGTTCTGTATCAGTGTCTCCAGGTGTGTGGGTCAGTACTAATAGTTATTGGCCACAGTACAGCCAGGAGAAAGACAAAGATGGAAACTGCAGTTCGAGTTGTATTTAGCAGGCATTTTGGAATGATTAGAGGCAATTTCATGGAACAGCTATAACTAATTGTTTTTCTTTCCTGCTTTTACATCAGCTATTTGTTAATTAAATAATGTGACAAGCCCCAAGAATGTTTGGAAAAGTGTATTAAAGAATTTTTCATTTATTTATTGGTGTATTACTTACACTGAGAAGTCGCGTATCTGCTAAGAAAATTTCCCCAACATCAGTTCTGATTCAGAGAATATGAAATTGAAACAGGCAAAAATTGTAATGGAAAATGTAAACCAAGAAATTCTTTGGGTAAGTGAGAGAGGATGTATAGTAGCTGAATCCTGCCGTGGTGTCAGCCCACAGACCCTCTTCTGCTCAGGACTGTAACAGGTAGGTGGTATCCTGAGATGTGGTGCTGCATTTGCTTCCTTGCAGATCCCTGCCCTGGTGCTGGCTCCTGCCCACAGGAAGGTTTTCCTTTAGCCAAATGGTCATTAGCCATATGCTGCATCTGACTTTGAGGATTAGAAGACTATAATGAAGTGGATTACAGCATGAGATCAGTGGCAGGATTTCAGACAAAATCCTCTTCCTAACTGTTCTCCCAGGAGTAGCAAAGAACTGAGCAACCTGTTCAGCAGCATGAGTTTAGGCAGCTGTGGGTTTTTTCTGTGCTGTTATGAGAAGCAGGATAATCCGGAGCTGTAACCCTGGGTGGGATACTGTGGGTGTTGGCTGACTTGAGGCTGTGCAAGAGTCTAAAGCCTCATGATTTCTGGGTGACATTTTTTGTGGCTTGCCTGGAGAGGGTACCTGAGAGGCTTGGGGCAGACTGGTTCTCCCCAGGTAGCACTTAATTGTCATGGACTGTAGGTGGGAGAGTGAAGGAACGGATCTGCTGAACATTGGAAAGGCACTATAGTGGTCAGAGGACAACACCATCTGAGACAGGGAACGGCCTGGGGCAGCAGCATATGGGCACCAGGCAGGAGGCAACCTACTAAAGCTGGCAGATCAGGGCTAGGAAGACTGGTGAGGAGGATTTGCAGAGGTCTTTCTGCCTGGCTGGTGAGGAAGACCACGGGAAAGTTTGTATTTGACCCAGAAATATGTACCTTCCTCCAGCTGTGCAGAGACTGGATGTGTGAACAGATGAAGGCAGCAAGCATGGCATGTGACAGCAGCCTCAGCGTGCTCCCGCACAGGCTCAGGGAAAAATATTTGGCTTCCAGAAACACCATCTACAATTAGGGCTATACATCTTAAAGATGTGCCAAATCTGTCTAAGATATTCATGCACATTCCCTGTAATTTATAGAAACAAACCCAGCAGCATAATAATTTTAATGCTTTCCCCCTGTGAAGAAATCCATCTCTCTTGGATAAAAATGTAACCTGTATACCCACACAGCCGTGCTCTGGCTTTTGTAACATGCTAGTGCCCAGGGTACATGATTCCATGCACTACACAATCTATGTTTAAGGATCAAAATACACCCTTTAGTACACCCCCTGCAATGTACTAGGCACCAACACAATTGCTTGGGCTAACTTTCAATGATTTCAATCTGAATTTCATTTGATTAATGTGTGGTGCCTTGTTTGTTCAAGTGAGCACCTGTAAAGCATCAAAAGATGATCTGCAGCCCCCATGGTGCTGGAGTTTACCCTAAGCACAATGCTTAGCACCCATGACCAAGAAAAGCCAGGAATGCTTGCCCTTTTGGACTTGTGAAAGGGATCACAGTGAGAAACTCAGGTTAAAGGTAGAACCCACTCCTGCAAAATTACACCCACTAAACAGGCAGAGATCCGAACTTAGTCCTAAGAAGGAGCAATCTGGAGATGGCACAAAGGCTGGAGATGCAAGACAGACAGGAAAATTGGGACAGGATCTATGTTTTAAGTGTAATTTTCTAAAATTTCTGCAGGGAGAAAGGACCTATTGTACTTTCAAGTGAAGTTGTTTCTAAGAAAACATCTTCCCAAATGCTAGTTGTCTTTTGTTCTTAAGATGACTTGGCGGAACACTTTGAATAGGTCAGTGTGTTTAATTGTGACTAGGTCTGTAAGTAAGTGCTCCTTGATCATGAGGTTCAAGTGACATTTTTAGCGGCATTTGGCAGAATTTAACCTGCTTTCAAGTCTTCTACTGAACTATTTTACACCCGGGCAGTGAAACTGCCAAGAAGCCCTTTCTTTTGTCAAACCAGGGCTAAATGCCAGTACTTCAAAGGTTAGACACAGCCCTACCAGACTTGCGACAAAGCTTAACCAGTTCTACTGATGGCAAAGTCACACCTGACCTGTGTTTGTACCTAGTGGTGAATATCTGGGAATGTGGAAAAAGAAAACCCACCCAAAACCCCGTGAACAGGGCAGTAGTGCATGCTCTGCCCAAGCTGCTTCCTGATGGGAGATGTCTCTCTCCAGAGATGAGTGAAGGATCTGCTGTTTACTTCCCTCGATATTTTACGCTCCTTACATTTCTACTAGAATCCTAGAGAAATTTCTTTTGTCTCAAAGGCTGTTCTTTGTCTCAAGGGCTGTTTGGCTTTGACCACTAAGAACATGTGATACTTGTCTCAAGCTATTAACCAGATGACCAGCCAAAATCAATTGCCTAGCAGATGCAGACCATTACCTGGAAGTCAAAACCTCAATAAATATTACCAACCTCATTGTACTGGTGACAGATTCTTCTGGTTGTTTTATGTTACAATTTAACAGTTTAGACATTGCATTTGTATATATTTGCTTCGGCCTTGGAGAGACCATCTCATGAGCAGAGGAGCAGCAGGCAGCCTGCAGACTCAAGAAATACTTCCACCATGACCACGGCAGGTGTTTTTATCCTCCTCTCCTTCGTGCTTTGCTGCTTCCCGGGTGAGTAACTCTCAAGGTGCCACAGAGACTTTGTGTCCAAGTCCTGGCTGTCTTTAAAAGGATAAGATAGCGGCTTCAAAGAGAGACAATTTTATCCTACAAAGGGCTGGGCTGCCTCAGTGCATTGGCATCACAGAAGATGCCAGAGCCGATTTCAGGACAGTCTTGGATCGCTATTGTAGCTGGTCGCCTGCCATAAATACAAATAACTACAAGTGGAGCTCTCTGCTGGTAACTAGTGCTGTAGTGCTTTTTTACACTTATTTTAACACTGTTACACTGCTTATACTTGTTGTATGGTCACAACACGTGGATAGATATTTGAAACAAGGGCATAATGAGGTGGTTAGGCTTCCAGTAACTGGTCATGCAAGTACTGTAGTGGCACAAGCAAGTGCTTTGCAGGAGCCTGGCAACTTTCCTGCAGTACTTGTGCTGCTGGAGAAGCAAGAGATGAAACAAGCCAGAGTCTGATGGTCTCACAGCATATTTATGTCTGATGAAAACACAAAGTCAAAGACGATTTATTTTTTCACACTCAGCTTCTTTAAAATGCATTTTCCTGACAACAGATGCTGTATGTATTAGTTTATTCTGTAGGTGACCTTTTGCATTTATCTGTATTGACTTGGGTTTCTTTTCAGATATATAACAGCAGCTCAAAACGGATATGTAAAAAGATAAGGAAAGAAAAGCTATTTTATTTTCAGTTAAAAGAACAAAGCTATTCAAAAACATGTTTCATCATAGCTAGCAGTGAGCAATGCTATTATACATGTCAACACTGAAAAAAAAAACCCAACACATGTATTTAGTTCAGGAAGCCAATCGCTGGAAACTGCTCAGTTTGGTCCTATGTGTTGGAATTTTACATACATGTTTCCAGCTCTAGCATGAGGTCTTATCTTGTTGGCTTTGTTTCACACTTTCTGTCTTTTTTTTTTTTTTTTTTTTTCTTTTCCAGATGCCGCCTTTGGGGTTGAGGTGAGTGGAAGTTTGCTTTCTGCCCGTTTTCTCAGGCACATGGCCTGATAGAGACGTAACCAAAGGAATGGAAAAAAAAGCAAGCCTGTAGATGTTTAGCTGATTTTTACCTAGCATGAAATTAGTGTCATTGTAACCAGATTCCATGTTGTAAAACATTAAATTAAATTATTCTTGGCTCTATACATATGCTGTGTGTTAATAATGTGGTAGAAATGATATACAATTTTTGAATTAATTATAGTTCACCAGTCTAAGCTTTAAGCTGGTCATATATGACTGGCTCTATAGTAATAGCAATAGACTGTGGTATCAGAACCTACCCAAAGGCAACCTAATGAAATGAATTACTGTGAGACACCCCAGCTTCCATTCACTGGGTCATTAGTCTTGTTCTTCTAAACAAACCCAAAACATGTTGAGAATGAAAGAACAGAAGTGTGCTGGAGGGACCACAAGAATATAATAATGATGGACCAATGGATAGCTGTTGTAAAAACGATGCCAGGTGAGTGGAAGACACTGTCATGGATTTACTCCATTTGGAGGGCTGTATGGCTAAAGTCCTCTCTTCCTCCTCCTCCTCCTCTCCTCCTGTGGAAGTGAAAAACCCAACTGCAGGTTGTATCTAGTCTCTGTTAAATGCGAAGTGAGAGCTGTGAACGTAAAATGTCTTCTCCACCCTGTTGCTGTACATTCCTTTGGCAGGTGGACTGCAGTACGTATACCAACATCACAAATGAGGAGGGTAAAGAGGTGTTGGCCTGCACCAAGATCTTCCGGCCCATCTGTGGTACCGATGGAGTCACCTACTCCAATGAGTGTATGCTCTGCGCCTACAACGTGTACGTACCACACAGGAGATCTCAGGCAACGAGGCTGAGGACTCCTGGCAGCACCACTTTTCAGCAAACAGTGATTTGTCATATGTCACTCATGTCAATTCCTTCAAAATGAGCTTAGGTATTGCTGTGTGGCACTCCGTTGCCTAGACATCGCCTTAGTCACCATGTGTCTCTTTTGCTCATGTAATTTATTCAGATTTTTCTCCTCCAGCTCAAGGATCAGCCAGATGACAGCCCCTAGGGCACATCTCAGCACAGCAAAGCAGAGTGAAAGGATGGAGAGATGCTCTGTTCTGAACTACCCAGAGTGGTCCTAAAGTTCTTTGGGTCCTTCCACCCCTGCCAGCTTCTCAGTGCTGGCTGGACAGGGAGGATGGCACTGCCTTCTTTATATATATATAAACCCAGCTGATAAAGAGTCAGCTTTTCCTTGCATGAGTTACGTATTTCCAGCACCTAGGATATAGCAAGACGCCTTTGCTGAAGTTCCTAATATCTGTCTTTCCTTCTCCAGAGAGCATGGAACTAATATTGGCAAAGACCATGATGGAGAATGCAAGGAAGCTGTCCCTGTAAGTGAAACCAAGGGCAAAACAAGGGACATGTCCTGCTTCTGAGTGGCCAATGCTGCTTATTCACTCCCCTGGGAAGTAATTCAAACACTAAATAGGATGACATATGAGATGTCAGAATCCTGCATTGGTCATCTTCGAGTGAACTGTCATCATAGTGACACACAGAAAAGCGTTTTCCCTGCTGTGGTGGTAACCTAAGTGGCCAAACAGATGCTTTCACCAGATCTTCTTGCTTCCTACAAGTGAGGCTTCACTGCTGCTTTTGTTGTGTGTTCCCTCAACAGGCAAACTGCAGTGGATATTCCAACATAACAGACGACAGTGGCAAAGTGCAGTTGCTCTGCAACAAAATCTACCGTCCCGTTTGCGGTACGGATGGGGTCACCTATGAAAACGAGTGCCTGCTGTGCGCCCATGACATGTGAGTACTGTGTGTGCAGAGCTCTCCTGTGAGAGAGACACTTTAAGGTGTTTGGACTTTGACTCTTTTCCTAATAACTAGATCCTGTTTTCCTTTGTGATTAGAAGGAAAACTGTGCCTAGAGAGAGAAGTAGAGGCCTGGGTGAGGATTTAACACAGGACAGAATGTTTCTGTTAACTAAGTTTAAAGGGTCTATGTGGCAGATGCTGCCTTGCAGAGGACAGCAAGTAACTTGAGGTGCCTCTACATTGTCACACGACCTAGCTCCTCATTCCCACTAACACCATGGACCCTCCCTTGTGTTTCATCGAACACCCCTCTGGCAGGCTGTGACACCACCTGACCTGGCAGCTAGAGCCATGTGGACACAACCTAAGCTGGACATCTCCTGTATCCTGTACGTTGTTACCTGAGGCTGAGCAGCATTCAGCAGAGCAGGTTGCTCGCAGAGTGCCCTAATGCAGGTCTCTTCCCTTTCCAGGGAGACTGGAACCAACGTTGAGAAGAAGCATGATGGTGAATGCAAGAAAGAGATTGTTACAGTAAGTGAAGTGCTTGGCCTTGGCAAGGGAGCGGGTTTCAGTCCTGCTGATGTCAGAAGCCACATTGCCCATGTCTGCAGCAGCATCCTATAGGAGTGGAACTGTTGCAGAGCTTCAGCACAGGGAGTACTTTGCTTTTTTTCATGTGTAATTCTACTGCTTAGAAAAGGAAGAGGATGACTGCACAGGAAGGGATCAGCAAAAGAGTAGTAGCAGAAAGAATCCATCAGGGCAGAACGGAGAAGAAGAATAGAGAAAGGGTTTTGGGGTCAGAGCACTCGTCCATCAAGTCTGTGATGGCTCAATGCAGAACCTGCTCTTAGCGGGGTCACAGGGATTGTGTAGGAGAGAGTAAGAAGAGAATGAGTTTTTATGGAACTTCTACTCTTCCAGCCTCCAGCTATTCTCAGGTGATGGACCTCAGCTAGGAGCGATTTCTGTGTAGTCAGTAAGCCTTAATATTTTCTCCATGACATTCCTCAGACTCTTCCTGGGCCCACATACATTTTTTGCACTATGATACCTCTCAGCAAGTGTAACAACCATAGTGCAAAGAAACAAAATCCCACTCACACAGTATCTGGCAAAGCGCTGATTTTCCTGTTTTAAGACTATCGGAGAGATACCGAACCCTTACGCAGGCATCAGCACCTACACTTCTCTCCACACAGCAGTATTTTCCCATTTAATTTCCTGAGTAGTTTGGGAACACGGTGCAGTGTGATCGTGAGCATAATCCCTTCACTGAGTGAACTGCTACTGCTTGGAAATGCTGCGGCCAGGTTATGATATACATCTCTTCAAACAGGATATTATGATCTGTGTTTATATTATTAAATTGCTCTGGCATAGGAGAAACTGCCACCTCAGTTTATATCAGATTGTGCAAGAAAGTTAATTACTTTTAGTGAGATTGTTACCAGTAGCACTGCAGCTGCAGTTAGTTGTTCAAGCCCTTCTGCTATTGATGTTTTCATATCCTTCACATTAGACCTTTTTTCTTTTGCAGGTTGACTGCAGTGATCAACCTAAAACCTCCTGCACACTTGACTACCTGCCTCTCTGTGGCTCTGACAACAAAACATACTCCAATAAGTGTAACTTCTGCAGAGCAGTCTCGTATGTAAAAGCATGGACCACATTCATGTTACCAGTTGCCTCCTGTAGGAACAAGTTTGAAGCTGTCACTTTGTTTGCTGACCAGTGTTGAACTAGGAATTTAAGGCAGGATGGAATACTAGCCATCATACCAACCATTCTTTTTTTTTTCATTAGAGCATTTGTGGTTTGTTCACGTGAATGGTTTGGAGACCATTAACCTTAATGAAATTTTCTTGCATGTTGCAGAGAAAATTAAATTTGAAATTTCATTATAGTTTCCCCCAAAATACTTTCAATCTCGAGTGAAATGATCTAACTCATTCTCAACTCTTAATAATCAAATAGCTATTGGGACTCTGAGTTTGCAAGTTCTTTGGCTTTGGGATGAGATCCTCCTTGTCTAGGAGCCAAGCAAAAGGACAGATTATAGCAGGCAGGACTCTGTGTCTAATCCATTTTTTCCTCTTCTTGCTTTCAGGGACAGCAATGGGACTCTCATTTTAAGCCATTTTGGACAATGCTGAGTATCAATGCTGAGAGAATTCACCACAGGATCCCCACTGGCAAATTCCAGCTGAAGATCTCACCTCAGTTCATCTTGCCCTCTGGGGAATTCAGCTCACTCTTGATTTTCTTTCTCAATAAACTACATCAGCAACACTTCTTTGTCTTGTTTCATGTGTTGTCTCATGAAACATTTTCTTCTGATTTTTTTGAATGATGATGCCAGGCTGAATAGGTTACTTGCTCATAGCTGTGGGATATAACAAGAACGTCTTGCTCCCCTCCCTCTCATACAAGGCAGAAAATTAAATACAGATGCATCAGCCTCAGAGCTGTGGGCCTTTGCACATAAACGCTAGTCAGCCTACATTAGTGTTGAGACCCTTTTAGATGTTTGACAGCACAAAGGGCTGCAACAGCGCTCTGAAGTGATGACGCCTGCTGATCTCTCCGAAGGTAGTGTTGGGGCATTTTGCCTGTCACCAGCAAAAGCCCTTTAAGCATTAGAGGTGTCTGCACTGGGAGCTCATCCCCGGCCTCCTCAGCACAGTCCTTGCTTGAAGAGTAGCAAGGGCAGTCTGTTAGCAAAGCCTGTATTTTTCAGACATGTGAGTGAGTCCTGCCTATTTGCCTAGGTCCTCCAAATGATTTATTTCTAGGTTTTTCTCATCTTGAGATCATACTTTAACAACCTCCAAGTGTTTTAAGATAAATGCCTTCCTAGGGATGGTTCCTACTCCTGCCTACTTGTCTTCTCTCTTAGTCTTTAATAACATAATACTCTTTGCCAGCCCACGGAGTATTTCAACAGTGTTTCATAATCCAGGGACAAAGCATCCTTCTGTTTTTTGAGAGTGTGACCTGTCAGTGGCGTATTGTCCATAAAATTTATTTTGCTTTTGTCTTCTCTTGGGGTATTGAATTGGTGGTTTTTTGATCCACACAAGAGAAACATAAATAAATTGGTCATATCCCTTCTAAAAAATAATGTCTCCCACATGCATTTCTTCTGGGACCAAAAGGGGAGGGGGAGGTGCTTCTTTTCCTTGATGGAATGAGGTCATCCAAAAAAAAGCGATGCTTTGGTGATAAAACAAAGGATTTATGTTGAGATGGGCAGATGGCTGAAGCAGTGATTTTCAGATTGGCTTCAACTTTTCTAGGATCCAGGCTGGGGTCTCACATCATTCTGTTGCGATTTTCAAAGGGAAGGT